GGTGTTAGTCAGCTTCCACCTAGTACAAAATTCAAGTGAAAATAGCAGCATTCTAACAACATACTAAAGCAAGAAATCCCTAAGCCATCAGCTTTACCTGACAATGATTAACCAGTGATAATTGGATGACAATTTATTTATCTAGAAGAAGAACGTTTGCCTCAACTTTCTCTCAATTGAGCTATAGATATCCAACAAAAAGTTGCAGGGGAAACAGCTGACCTAAGCTTCCTTTGATTCTCATATGTCCAGTGGAACAGTGCACTATTATTATCAGTCTTAAGCAAACTTACCACAAGAGTCAACAAAACCATCTGCCCATAGAGTTTTGCATAGAAATCTTTTCACAGTAGCTTCCAGAGCTAATACATGATTACAGTACTCTTGGCTTTCTGGAGATATCAGTCACGATTTAAGTCATTCAATTAATGTCTAATTGTTACCTCACTTTGGTGAAATATGTTTTTTGTTGACAGACTTAACTTTTTAGATTACTGCTACATTTTCTAATAGTACACTAAATTCTACCTGCCTTTCCTTTGGGAAGTAAAGACAGACAAATCATAAACTTGCCTTAGCCTAAACTGAACTTATTATTATTATTATTATTATTAATTATCATTATAATCATTATTATTCCAACTTTCCTTTCACTGGCTGGTAACAATCCTAACCTTTCTTTAGTACTGAGTTCTATTTTGTCCTTAGAGATAGTCTGCTTTTTTCACGCAACTCTCTTCACCTCCTGAGTGAGCTAATCAGTTTGGTGTCCAGTAATTAAAGCATCAGATAAATCTCTACACTGATACAGCCTATTGCAGTTGACAAACTGCATTCTTAGACCTTGTGCTTCATGTTCTGATTTCTGTCATGGAGATTATGACTAAGAAATTCTCAGCTCATTGAAAGATCTTTAGCTTAATGTAGGGCCTGAGTACGATAGCTGTGTCCATATTGACAGCTGTTTTCCCGTGTGAGGCAAAGCAAGTGTTGCCTGCTTTCTTCCCCAGTTGTATGAGGGACTGGAGGAGTCACTCTGCTTCACTCAACACCTTAGTTAAATATTTACTGCATACCTATTTCAGGGGTTTCTTGGTAATGTGTTATTTCCTCCCAGAACAAAACTCCTAAGATTTCAGAAAGATTTAAAACTGCCATACCGTTATTTTCCAATGACAATATGGGAAATTTCTTCAGTGTTACTTAAGCATACACTGATGAAAAAAACAACCCAAATAAGTAAGGAAACAGAAATAAGATCATTACCAAAAATAAATTAAAAGGAAGGGCTATTTGGTGAAAGAAAATAAATGTATGAATGGCAGCTTTAGGCTGGAAAGTACTGTCTGATCATTCCTTTACGCATTTGAGGATAGGCATTAAAACCAATATGCTTTCCATGAAGCCAGATGAATAAGTCAGTCAGGAGCCAGTCCTAAACAAGGCAGTCCTAAATTTCTCAGTAGTATTTTAAAAAAGCATGCTAAATTTTAGATTTATTTAAACAATAAACCAAGCACCGTATATTGCCTATCACATGTATGTTGGGATTCAATAAGAGAAATGTCATCTCACAATGCAATATTTTTAGGAAGACACAGAGAGATCATAAGCTTCTGGGAATTAACACAGCTCTGATGATTTCACAGGAGGAATGTCAATGTGAAACTGCTGCTTATCTATCCCTTTATCTCTGTGGTAGTTGCTTTTGCTGATATTTCCTTTGGCAGAAGACACACAGCTATCAGCACAGATTCCATAAGATGCAAGAAAACAAATCTGTGCTCCAAGCAACTAGTTAACTACGCATTAAAAAGCAATATAAGAACCACCCAAACCCCTACTGTTTGAGGAAGACAAAAAGGAGAATGTTTTGGTTTTGTCTTAAAGGTCTGTTTGACTAACGTAAGAAACAGCCTTAAGGATTTAAGAACTGCTCAGAGGCAGTGGTACTAACACACATCATGCAGCATATTTTAACTATATGAATGTTCTTATGAATTACCTATTTGTGGTTTAGACAGAGCTGGTTTAGATAGAGCTGGTACCTATTTAGTATTCCTGGAATGTCTTAAGATGACTGCATTCAATGCAATACACAGCCCTTATCCAACAAAAAAATCATCTTAATGTCAACAGTACTGCTACAGTGAAACTTTTTAGGTGCTAGAATAATATGTTACACTGTGGGGAAAGCAGACATTTACAAGAGCTAGGCCATCTGAATGGGTCAAACCCTAATGAGTAGGTCAAACTCTACTGATAGGTAAAAGACTTCCAAAATGTATTCAGTACCCTCAAATGTTCCTTCTATTGGACGTCTTTATGAACATTTTTATTACATAAGCAAGTATTTTTTTTGTTTAGGCCTAATCTACACACAAGTTTTGTATCATGAAACTATTATAGTTAGATCTGGATTCTCTTTGAGATAGTCATAGCTGTAAACCTTGTGTAAATGCAGCAAATACAGGAATAAAAATTCCTTATAGTGGCACAGTTTATTTTCCTTTTCAAATAGGAATAAGCCATATGGACACAGCTTTTATATCTAAAGCCACAGCAGTAGAGTATACTCAAGTAACCGAAGCAGTATAGCTTTCCTGAGCACATAATGCCTAAGAATTAAATCTGCTGTGCAAATAACACTTGGAACAAAGCTATAAGCTCAGTCTATCAAGTGTATCAGCAGTAACACTTTAGGCATTCTTGAGTAATATCAGATTTCTTTACATATAAGTATTTGGAAAACAGTGGATAGAGTAACTCCATTTTTCCAAATTCAAACTGTGTTCTTTAGAGCGGTCTCAGCTTCCTGACAATTCGGATTAAGTGTGAGTATTCACCGCAATTACCCTATGGCTAGCAGTAGCAGAAGTGTTTTGAAAGTATGTATATCTTGCAGAAACTTGTTCTAAAAACTTCAATATTTCAAAATAATAAAGGAGAAGTGGAAGGGTGATGGAATTTCTTAAAGGAGTGTGACCAATCATTGTGCTATCCATGAGCTACAGCTGTTCCCCATGAACAAAACATTACTAAATTTATCCAGATCAGATTTTATTTTTCACATTAAATCAGTTTCCAAACTAGTAAATAAATGACTGAGCAAATCCAGTATTTTGTACTGAGTATTGAATATACATATACTATTGTAATTTAACTTGATGGGTTTTGAAAAAAAACTTTTTGTAAATACAACCCTAGCAAATCAAGAAAACACTGACTTATGGATGCTGGGTATTCAGATTATGAGGTTGGAGCAAAAACCCAATCAGAAATAGAAATATAATAAGGACTTATATTATAGGATGTATTTGAACAGGAACTAACAAGAGATAATATAAAATGTATCTATAGCTCTCAGTGACTATTTTCTTTGGTGTAAAAATTAAGTAAAGATTTCTAATTTCTATATTTTTTTTAAATAGAGAGTAGATTACTTATAACTTTAGATTTATGTCTTTTTTACCCATTAGGAAATCCAGAAAAAATTTCAGAAGCAAATGTGTACATCCAAGTTCTTAATGTTAACGACCATGCACCTGAATTCCCTAAATACTATGAAACATTTGTGTGTGAAAACACATTTTCTGGACAGGTAAGTGCAAAGGAGTTAATCACCTTTTTTTCCTCCTTAAAATAAACTAGACATATGATTGCAGGAGTTGTGATTTCCTTTTAATATTGATTATTTCTGTATTGCAAGAATAGGCTGTATATTGTCTATTTCTAAAATTAGTTCTGTTGATAAATGTGTAGTTTGAAATTTGGATTTCAGAAAATAAGCATGCACTTTTCCTTCCTCTAAAACAAAACCAGTACATCTCACTGTCTGATAAATTTGATCATAGACAAGTACAGAATGAAACTTCTAAAAAAAATCAAACAACATGAAAGAGAGATTTGAGTAACAGTAACATCACAGAAGTAAAAAATTAGGTCTGGGAATTTCAGCAACAGGGGAACATAGTCTAGAAGGATCTTTTTTAGAATACTTTGGTTATAAATTTTTCATTATGAGCTACATTCAAACCCTGTCTCATTCAGTGAAGTCTAAGGATCTTTTAAGTCACGGTCTTTGCAATACCTTTCCTAGCTGGCTACTTATGCAATTACTGTGCCAAGGAAGTGTCCTTCCTTTGAGGTTCTCCTCATTTCCTACTTACAAGTTCCCAGTTGTTTCCCAGGTGAATGCGGTCACGTTGGACAGCTGCCCTAATCTCCCAGGCACACCACTGAAACTTCATTTTGCTTTACCCACTTTCCTTCACAGGTATACATTTTTGTACGTGGTTCAGTTTTACAGTTGAAGCCCCAAAGTGGCAATAAGCATACAACCAGACTTTGCTTAGGATTCTAAAAGAAAACTATAAAAGAAAAACAAAAAGAAAAACACGTTTTTTTTAAAAGTAAAACAAAAAGGTATAAAATGAACAACAGAAAACTGTAGAATAGAAAAATGTATTTTCTTCCCCGGCTCCAAAGCATTCTTTGGACATACAAAAGAGACCTTTGGGATAACCATGATGCTTCAGTTCGAATGTTTTGCTTTGTTCTGATGTCTGAGTCACAGAGCCTCTTTACAACAGCTTCGTTTACTTTGACCTTACTTAGCGTACAGTTAAATAAAGCTTATCCTGTTGCAAAAAGTAGTCCCTTTATAGCTTTCAGCATCTGTTTATATGTTCCTCTACCAGCACCTGCTTCTCTTGTCCTACGTTTGGGAATCTTCCAGTCTGAAAATGCTACCCTGGTTTAGATTGGAGCAGGCCAGTTCTCTAGCCTTCAGCTAACTCATTGTCAGGTCAAAGAACTATCATTAAAGTAAAGCACACTTCACCGGCTCCTATCTTAGAGACACCATCCATATTAGCAAATGATGAATTCCATAGATTGTTGTTTTATGAAATTTCTGTTTTATAATAATACACTGATTACCTCAACAACAATTTAAGGTATGCAGAGACAGATTTCCTAAATCATCAGGCTTGCTATGTTAAAGCTTGGAGTTAAATAATAGAATAACACAGAATTAAATATAGAAGCTTATAAAATGGATATTTGTAATCCATGTTTTGCAATTGCTTACAATGTAAAAAGCCACGTAGTTTGTTTTCTAAGACTGGTATCATGGCATATAGCTGTCTACGGTTAAATAAAATCTGTTACTCCGGTAGTGGCTACTTTTTGGAAACAAATGAAGCTATTTTTAAAGCTATTTTAAGTTTTTTTAAAGTATGGAGAAAGAATCACTATGAAGAAGTAGTAGTAAAAAACAACTCTTTGGGAATAGAATACAGTATTATTCCTGTAATAACATTATAATTATTCCTGTAGAACATTATAGGGAAAAGAATGGGCAAAACACTTATTTAGAATAAGTTTGGGGTTTTAATTTTTTGACTTAGTGATAGTTTTGTGAGAATCACAGGCATCATTTAGCTAAGCCTTTGGAGGCCATTCAAAGAGAGTAATGCTAAATAATCTTCCCATTAACAAATGTTCTTAAGAAGAATAAAAGGAAGCTGATACTGAAGTACATAATTATCACAGTCAGAGATTAAAATATTTTATTTAATGTTTAAGATTTCAAACAGAATTGATAGTTGAGGTTTTTAGCACTCCTTCACAGTTATTTTCCATTTTTGTACTTTTTACTTGCATAAAATGTTTATTTGGTTTCATTAGCTCTAGCTAATGAAATGCTTCTAAGCAAAGAGATGTAAAAGTTGTTGTCCATTGAATAACACAATCTGCATTTCAGAAAAATTAATTTAAGCAATTCAAGGGCTCAATCAGGCAATTAAATATCATTAATTTGGCCATATTTCTACAACCAATTCAAAACAGTTCAGGAATCTGATTACATGTTATGAGCTGAGATCAGAGCTTGTATAGAAATTGAAATAAAATGGTGTATCTAAACAAGCTATTTCTTCCTATTTTACTGGCAAAAGATATGCTGAGGGATATTCCCTGAGGTGTTCTGCACCTCTAGAATTCAATTCCTTTCCTGATCTCAACTGAGTTATATCTAAGTTGTATTCATGGGATATTCCAAAAAATATTTGTATTCCCAAGCTTATAATGTTTGGAGGGAAGGAAGGAAAAGCACTGCAGGAGGAAAGACTTTGTCAAAAAGTGGATTGTCTTATTGACCTTAGAGGGCTTTTGCTTGGTGTCAGCCTGGATAATACTAAAGCAATGCAGCGTTATGTGATATATGAATTATTTGCACATAGTCCTAACGTATAGTAGGCCATCTTAAAGAAGGGAAAGAACACCACGAATAAAACTAAATAAAAAGGTTTGTCTTAATTATACAAACTCAGAAGCAGAGGCAGAACAATAGCTTAAGACTAAGAAAAAAAAAAACTTGCTATGAAATTTTTTATTCTATGAAATATTATCAAAATTTTCTTGTCTGTTTTTATTGAATGAGTGTTATTCTTAATGTCCCTGAACTGTGGTTTTGTGTGAGGTACAGATAACTTTAGTTTAGCCTCTGGAAGACATTCATACAGAAGGATTAGATTTGGGTCCTTGGGACTATTATCTGAAATAAGAGTTTAATGATAAAATGGATGTAAAAAAAAAAGGGTTTTTTGGCAACTTTCTAAATACATTCATCATGTTTGTCAGATATTTTTAATGGATTTTTCACTATCAATTTTTTTGTAATTGTTCCGGACTTTCCTATAATCTTCATCAGCTGTATACTAACCACAAATGCAGTTTTCTTTTGCATGTTGTAAAACCACTTTCACTACACTACAGCTATTAAATATATTATTTTCAAAATAACTTGAGCATGAAAGTTTCTATGTAAAATAGAATTCTACTCTATTGTAGCAATAGCTAATATTAGAGCTGATAGAATTATATTTATAAGCCCTCCAAATATATGATTCCCTTTTTAGTCACATTGGATCTTTCTTATCTGATCTTATAACTGTTTGGTATACGATGGCAAGCGATGACCATAATGTGGTTTTAGTTCTTTATAGTTTTCCTTCATGTGCGTGTACCATAACTACAAATTGTTGAATTCTGCAGCCAATAATCTATAGAAATGGTCAGGAAACAAAATGGATCAAATTAGTCCTGAAAGTAACACTACAGACAACCTAGCAGGAAAGGATTTGACCCAGTAAGCTTTTTTCCCAAGGTATTAATAAATACTTTAACTCAGCCTGAAGTTGCAGCTTGAGAGCTTGAAGTAAGCTACATCAAATGTCTTTGTGAGCTATATGTAAGCAAGCTGAGCATCCAGAGTGTGTCCAGTTGTATGTATGGTAATTTCTATTCCCTTGTAGATATTGGTCTTTCTTCACATCATGCAAGAAACATATTTCTGCTGAAGACAAACTGCGCTGAATACACCTACATTTTGAATTAGCGCTGCGTTCTCTAATGCGTATTTATTCTGGCAGTTCTGAATTTCTGTAATTTGAGGATCACATATGTACTGACTTTGATTTTGTAGCTTGCTTAGTAGTTTTTATTGGATCCAAAGAAGTGACTATGCATTAAGCCCTCAGAGATAAGAAAAAGAAAAACATTTATTTATTCGGTATTTAGCGTATAATAAAATAATCATCAGTTACTGTGAAAGTGAAGAGTACTAATACGAAATGTTGCTAGAACAAAAGGGGGTGAAATTTTAAGAATACCAGTTTCTAGAGGTATATGACTAATATTAAAAATGAGTAGTTAGCTTAAAAAAACTTTTCTAACAAGTCATGGCGTAAAATTATTTTTGATGGCAGAGAAGTTAAATTGATGATTTAGAAATACAATACTTACTATTTCACCTTGTTTTGTTCTCTTGATCATTTACAAAAATCATCTGAGCAGCAATGATGAAAAAAAGAAAAAAACAATAAAGGAAGCAAAGAAAAATAAGGAGGGCATATCTTTAGAATATAAAAAGGTGGGTGAAGCCCTGGAAACATCATATATTCTAGTAGTCCCTTATGCTAAGCTACACCTGCAGGTGGACAGAGTGTAACATTTTGAGAATGTGGGCTCAGCGGCCCACATTATGATTCAACAGTATTATCTCATAAAGGAATGGAATAGGTAGGAACAGTTTATCAGCATATACAAAGATAAAAAGAGACTTCAATATCATGGCATGAGTTTGATAATAGTGATTCCATTGCTGAATCCTTCACCATTTCATTTATAGTGCAGGAGAAATATCTTAGAGTAGATCCAGAGGAATCAGATTAATGTTGTGCCAATCTAAAGGGACAGACGCAATCAAAAGAGAGACCTTGATCTTCAGGTAGAAGATCTACTTGGAGAATGCAGTTGCTCATTATGACAGCAGACATTTCATCTTTTACAAATATTAACTTTGCTGGTCATCAAATATTATTACGCAAAGGAAGTGTGCCTTCATGGCACGAGAAAAATCCAACTGCTAGTAAGACCTTTGTCAATTTGAACAAATCCAGTTCTGTACTCCTAAAAGAGATGCATCATCTGATCTCCCACATCTCGTAAAACACAGCACAGCTCCTACATTTTATTGAGGGAAGTTACAGAATCACAGAATGGTTTAGGTTGGAAGGTGGTTGAGCAACACCCCTGCTCAAGCAGGGTCCTCTAGAGCATATTGTCCAGGATCACGTCCAGGTGGATTTTGAATATCTCCAGCAAAGGAGACTCCACTACCTCTCTGGGCAACCTCTTCCAATGCTCTGTCACCCTCACAGCAAAGAAGTTTTTCCTCAGGTTCAGATGGAACTGCCTGTGGTTCAGTTTCTGCCCGTTGCCTCTTGTCCTGTTGCTGGGCACCACGGAGAAGAGACTGGCCCCATCCTCTCGACACTCCCCCTTCAGATACTTGTACACATTGGTGAGATCGCCTCTCAATCTTCTCTTCTCCAGGCTGAAGAGGCCCAGCTCTCGCAGCCTTTCTTCATAGGAGAGGTGCTCCAGTCCCCTCATCATCTTTGGAGCTCTTCACTGCACTCGGTCCAGGAGCTCCAGTGTCTCTCTCTTGTCCTGGGGAGCCCA